TTGAGCGCTATCTCCGGGAGCTTGAGCGCCATATTTCTGCTCCATTCTTCCTCTATTTTGCTCCAAAAACCATTTTTCTTTATTTTAACATTCTTTCAACCAAAACACTAGCAAACACATTAAATTCGTTTTATAATCAACAGATTATGTATACAAATGCAGCTTTATTGGTATAAAACCCGTGTGCAAAACACACTAATCATGGACCATTGGCAATAACAACTGAAATTCTTGTCGCTTGGTTATTCACAACAGCTCTGTGCTTCACACTCTTGTATTTCCCATTGCTGAATATCTGCCAACAAACACGATTTGATTTGATTTGTAAAGTAAAAACTATCCTAATTTGAAACATGTTTGGCTAAGCTTTAAGTAGCTTTGGCTGTTTTTTTGCAGTTAGCACATGTTCAAAGTTGATTTTTCGTGGTAGAAGAAAAAAGATTTACCTCAAGCTGATCGGCAGTGTTAACTAGAATAGAATTCTGAGGTGAATTTGTATTAAACCACTTCCCATTATGTTGAATTTGTAGTCCAGCCACTCCATTTTGTATCAAAAAGGTCAAAAGACCATGATCTGTATGTGGTGGGAGCCCAATTGCTTGATCTGGCTGTGGACAAGGTGGATAATAATTTACAGCAAATAGTTGGAACATTGAGTCCAACTTTAGGATTTCTTCCACATTTACTTCTTCCAATCCCAGGTTTTCAGACATCCCTTGAAGTAATGTTCTTGCTACAAATCGGCTTCTTTCGGCGTACTCAAATATAATCTCCCTACAACGAAATACTAACGCTTAACATGATAAGTTATATCATAATTTCTGAGCTATGTTCCTCCTAAGTTTTTATTTCTAATGTGAATTAAGTACTCCTATTGTTCTAAGAAAGGCTTATACCTAAGATTTTGAGGTTTACGAGGATAATGAAATTCAGGACGGACATAGGTCTTCATAAAATCCCTCCAGAGGAAAATCTTCTTGTCCGAAGTAGACACTGCCTCTGCCATACCTGATGGGGATCCGAAACATGCTTCGCTTCATACTTACGCTTTTCGTCCTCCGGCAAATCGAAGAACTCCAAAGCCCCTTCTATTGTTGCCTTCATCAAGGTTTCCTGTATCCCGTGATTTACCAGCTGCAAGAATTAACAAATGCATGCACTACTTATTGTGAACAGAAAAACACAGTACTGGATGACACTGAATAGTATAACGAACAAAAAATTGAGAGAGTATGAGCCTGTTTGGTACAGATTCTCATTTTCTACAGTAAATCAATTCTCATTTTCAACCACACATTGTTCAATAAAATAATATTTTCCATCACATCAATACTTTTTTCTTCTGTTTCAACCACACATTTCCCATCATATCACTATTCAAAAATCAATTCTTCCCCCAAAAATCCCTACCAAACAAACTCATAATATTGTACCACAAAAAAGCCCCATTCTTCACAAGCTTTGCCAAGTTCTTGAATGACTTTGGACCTTTGATCAGGATTTTTGAGGTGAGCAAGGAGAAATCGATGATTGGGATTGAATCAGAATCCGAGCCTGTGGGTTCATTCACAAATGAAAATTCAGAAGGGATGGACTTAAGATCAGTAGATTCAGTCAGTACTTTTAACGCCAGAATTCAGTTTTGACGGTTCCACAGAAGTTGCTACTTGTTGCTGAGCGAGGTCATTAGCAATTGCTGCCATCTTTCTGCCTGTACTTTTGTCTTGAACCTGTGTGGGGAGTGACTTGTGCAAATGAAAAAAAATATGGTTCTATATATAGAGGTTAGACCAGTGGTCTTACTCGTATTAATTGACTTTTTTTGTCTAAACATATTTGTACAACCCGATTCTTTATTATTATTATTGTTGTTGTTGTTGTCGTCGTCGCCGTCGTCTTCATCATCGAGGACTTGACATATAGACTATAGTTATAAGTATGAACGAGATTTGAAACCTTTTATGGCATTATTATGAAATTCGGTGCACTGAACTGTATATTTTTTGGAATAAACCTGAGCATTGAAATATCAAAAATTACTTGTCCCAAAGAAACTCGTACAAATAATTCAAGTGGCTAGTTCCAATAACAAAGCATAAAAAACTTGTGCACTGTATTGAAGAAGAAAGATGCTCTATGAAGTTGCCTCTAGAAAATGGAAACAACAGCGAGTGGTACATCTTATCATTGCCTTTGCACAAAAGAATGAAAAGATTGTACAAAGATATTGGGGAAAAGATCCAAAATAAGATCCAAAGTACAAACAACATTATGGAAAACAGAAAATATGACATTGGTTTAAATATCAAAATATCTAGATCAAAACTTTAATGTCATTGAACTTCATAACTCCAAAGGACGTAATCTCAAGTTCAAATTGAAATAAATACATAAATAAAAATGTACAGAGAAAAATTAGGCCCTTGTTTGGTCGGGATTAAAATCAGATTTTTAGTACATTTTGATAAAATTTGATGAAATGTGTGGTTGAAAAGTTGTGGGTCCCATGAAATATGTGGTTAAAATTAATTGTTGACTTTGACTTAAATTAAAATTTGGATTTAAATTCCTACCAAACAAACACTAGTACTTGCAGACCACATGACAACCACATGACAACGCATGAATATATACTTCTTACATAATGAATAAACTCAATATGTTAAACAGTACAGATATTTTATCAAATTCTGAGATAAGAAAATCCCAGCAATGAGCAAATTCTGACCGAATCATCTACCATCTACAACCCCTAATCTTCCTACTGAAATTGGAAAAAAAAATGCCATATCATGTCATTAAGAGGCAGAATACTCGCTCCTTTCACTAACTTGTTGTCTTGTAATAAAGGTAATATTTTCTAAACTTGTCTCTTCTAGTGGTTTCGCCACAAACCGTCCATAAGTTGTCCTTTGCCTGTCTCCTCTGATTGGTTGAATTCTCTCTGGCTTCTCTTCAATTCTTTCAGGTGCACTAAATAGTGCCTGAAGAACTTCTTTTTGGAGATCTTGCTTTTCCTTCTCTCTTCTTGGTTATTAGAAAACAACGAAGCTGCCAAGCTGGAGGATGATACTAGTTAGCAGCACATTCGGCAGGATACACATCATCAGAGGGAGAAGAATTCTCTAGAAGAATCTTGTAGCTAATTTCTTATTTTGTAACTGTATTTCTGAATTCTGTTTTGCCACATGCTGATGGCATTGTATAGTGTCTATATATACTGATGAGATGTAAAGGACGGCAGACAAGAAATCAATAAAATCTTCTTCTCAGCTCTTCCAAATTTCCAGCTGAAACTTTTATTATTCCGCATTACTTGAAATGGTATCAGAGCATGTGTCAATTCTGCATTACTTGAAATGGTATCAGAGCATGAGACAACGGATTCAAATGCTGGGAATCCAAGCACAGACCAAACTCAAAATCAAAATAAAAATTCAAACGTCATTCTTCATGATCCTACCCAACCAAGTAGCCCATACTTCATTGGAAGCAATGACAGCACATGCGGCATGTTGGTCACTCATATATTGGATGCCAGCAATTATTACTCATGGGCTAGATCTATGAAGAGGGCATTATGCATCAAAAATAAATTAGGTTTCATAGATGGGAGTATATGTGAACCAAAAGATCCTAATGATCCACTCATGGAACATTGGTTGCGCTGTAACAATATCGTGATAACCTGGATGCAAAACACGATGGCTGTTGACATCAAATGTAGTACCACCTACGCTGAAACTGCACATCAGCTTTGGATCGAGCTGGAGCAGCGTTTTGCCCAACAAAATGCACCTAGGATCTTCGAAGTCAAACAAGCCATAACTACATTACTGCAGAATTAGGATCCTGTGTGTGTTTATTTCTCCAAACTCAAAACTCTTTTGGATGAACTGATGAATTATGAAGCCATTCCAAATTGTAGCTGTGGGGAGGTTAAAACTTGTGGTTGCAAACCAACAAAGAGATTGGGTAATGAAGTTCCTAATGGGCCTAAATGATTCGTATAAAGGAATCAAGGCACAAGTCTAGCTGATAAAGCCCTTTCCTAGCTTAAATGAGGTATACTCGATCATACAACGGGAAGAGAAGAGAAGAGAAATTTCGACTAAAGGATTTACAACTGAGTCTATGGTACTTTCTACCAGAGGAAACTTTAAAGAAGGGGGGAAGCAAATCATTTCAGCACAGAAGAAGGATTGCTATTATTGCACTTTTTGTAAAATTCTAGGACACTCCAATGACAGATGTTTTAAAGCTAACCCAGGAAAACCAGTTTGCTCCTACTGTCGAGTCCCTGGACGTTCTGCAGATAAATGTTTTAAACTCAATGGTTATCCATCAAGACACAAAATCGAAGGGAAAAATAAATTCTCAGCAAATCAGTCCATAGCATCCTTGCCCTCTACAAAGGAGACAGTGAATGACAAATCTCAGGTGTCGTTAAGTCGGGAACAATACTCTCAACTTATGGCTCTACTCAAACCTATTGTTACTCCTTCAATTTCTGATGAGGCTGGACATCAACTCTCTGGTATATCCATGTGTATGTCTGCGTTTATATCAAAATGTTCTAATATATTAGACACCCTTGGATCCTAGATACAGGGGCAACAAATCATATGATCTGTTCCACCTCATTGTTTTCTTCTATTCAGGATGAAGTTCATTACTCAGTTGCTCTACCAAATGGTAACAAAGTTCCTGTCACCCACATAGGAACGGTAAACATCACAGACACATTGAGTCTTCAAGATGTCCTTTGTGTGCCCAGTTTCTCTTAAAATCTAATTTCTGCCAAGAAAATAGCCCAAATGCTTAACTATTGTCTGATTTTCTTTTCTCATTGTTGTTATATTCAGGACCTTTCAGTTTGGAAAATGATTGGCATAGGTGAAGTTAAGGAAGGACTCTACCATATGAAGCGTGAGGAAGCCTCTTATTCAGCTTTAACAGATTATTTGGCCAAACTAAATATTCTGTCACCCAATTACTTTTCAGCCCCAGTTACTTATAATGCTCAAGGTTTTGATGTTTGGCATTATAGATTAGGGCATTCTTCTTACTCTATTTCCAGTATTGATGGTGATATTCACTTTTCTAAATCATCCAATGACAAAATCTGCTCTGTATGTCCCCTAGCTAAATTGCATAAATTGCCCTTTCATGTCAACATTCATAAAACTGAAAAATGCTTTGAATTATTACACTGTGATATTTGGGGTCCTTGCAATGAGATTGGTAGTGATGGTTCCAGATATTTTTTGACCATTGTAGATGATTTTAGTCGCTGCACTTGGGCATATATGTTGAAACAAAAGTATGATGCCATAGCTGCCCTTCAAGGTTTTTACGCTATGGTAGAGACACAATTTGAAACCAAAATTAAAATTATTAGGACTGACAATGGTGGTGAATTCAATATGAAGGAATTTTATCTCAAAAATGGTATCATACATCATAAAACTTGTGTTGAAACAGCACAACAAAATGCTGTGGTTGAGAGAAAACACCAACACATTCTAAACACGGCTAGAACTTTTAAATTCCAAAGTGGAATCATTTAAAATATTGGAATCATTTGTTTTAACTGCCATATATCTCATAAATAGGACACCCTCTCCCACCTTAAATGATCTAAGCCCTTATCAAATTCTTTTTAACAAAAGGCCCAACTACCTACATCTTTGAGTTTTTGGTTGTCTTGCATTTGCAGCAACCATTGTTAATGGAAGACACAAATTTGATCCTAGAGCAAAAAGGTGTGTGTTTATAGGTTACCCCTTTGGGATCAAAGGATACACTTTGTTGGACCTTGAAACTAGGAAGATATTTGTCTCCAGAAATGTAACCTTCTATGAAAATGTTTTCCCCTTCAAAAATTCCATCAGCAATCCTCAATCACAACAAGACCAAAATTATGACAACTTCACTCAAAATCTCGTGCCTTACAGTGAAAAATTTGTTCCCATACCTATTCCAAATGACAATCAAGTCCTACCACTAACAGAATCTCAGAACACATATTCTTTGGAAGATGTCCCACCAACCTCTGATAATGATGAATCCCGATCTGAATTTGTTGATAATTCCCAAAATCCTAATGCTAGTGATATATCATCAAACTCCAGCCCTATTACTCATTATCCCCGCAGGTGAGCAAGAATTCGAAGGGCACCAGCACACCTTCAGGACTTCATATGTGAACAAGCTACTTTTCTTCACCCACCTCAAGAGTTAGACAAATTGAAGGGACATAATTTCCCACGTAAACATTATCCTCTTAGTGCCAGTATTTCATATAAAAAAATTGTCAACTTCACGTAGAGCTTTTGCATCCTCTGTCACTGCACAATCAGAACCTAGAAGTTACCATGAAGCCAAAAATTCACTAGAATGGTATGCAGCCATGAAAGCAGAGATTGAAGCCCTTGAACTTAATGACACATGGATTCTAGTTGACTTGCCTCCTAATAAAAGGGCAATAGCGTGCAAATGGGTGTACAAAATTAAATTAAATTCTGATGGTAGCATCGAAAGGTTCAAAGTAAGACTAGTTGCTAAGGGATATACACAACAAGAAGGTTTTGATTACCATGAGACATTTTCACCTGTAGCCAAGATTGTCACAATCAGAACTTTGTTGGCTATAGCAACAATAAAGGGATGGAACCTTTTCCAATTTGATGTTAATAATGCG